CAGTCAGACACCGCGAGCTCAGCGGTGGGGCGCTCAGGAACAATCCCCCTAGGAGCGCGAAATCCCATAGGACTTCTGACGAGCACAGACACCCGTCAGAAGTCCCCCCTGAGGGGCGGGCTGTTAAGCACAGCAGAATTGTAGCAGTGAGTTGCGAGTTCGAGACCGCAACAAGCTGTGAATGTTCTGCGATGTTAAGAATCGGCGACAGGTCTTATGGCCTAATAACGCTGAAACCGCTATTATTGTTATTATTATTGCTATTATTATCATTTTTATTATTATCGTACCTAGCTGTTACGTTCTTGCATGGCCTTGATGAACTCCTGCCGTTCCTCCGCATCTCTCATCCCCGGCGGAGGCAACAGAAGCCGTGTCCCAACTGAGGCGCTCCCTTCCCCCTCTCCTGCATTGGGACGCCCTTTGGTAGACCACACGCTGGGGGCGCGCCCACAGACCACGACTCCCACGCTCCCGTCAGGGGTCTCTGCCCCCCGTCACCGGCGTGGGCTGGAGCCATGCGTTCGGTCAAGGGAAAGTTCAGACGAGAGGGCAACGCTTATCCCGTCCTCAACTTATCGTATAGTTTATTGTTGATCTAAAGTTCATGGCATGAAATGAACTTTTTGTACATTTTTAATTGTGTACGCCGTTTACTATATGCCCGTAAACAATGTCTTGCGGTAGTGAAATTCCTGTTTGTTTTCCCGTTCGTTTCCCGCGTTTGCATGTACGTGGCTCAAGTCTCGCGTCTCGAATAATAACGTGCATCATAACACCAAATATTTGATATATACACCACCCTAATGATGGCTTAAATCAGCTGTAAAATTATGCATGCAAGAAATAAGTTGCTGAATTAAATTATCAGAAATCCCTCTGCTGACTGTGCTGCGTAAAACCTCTGAATATAAACTGACATGAAACTCAATTTTGGGTTGAGAAGATAATCTCGGCCAGTGCCTCTGAGTTCGCAGTTCAAACTGTCGTTTCCCCAGAAAAAAATTATGACTAATGCAGTTTTGTCCTGTTCCTGCAAAGTGAAGAAAAATTGCAGCTTCGCGTCACGAGGGAATATCGCCTGCACTGCATGCACTGGGCCTGCGTCAGTCGCCTGCACCGCACTGGGCCTGCGTCCAGTCGCCTGCACCTGTCTCTTATACACATCTAGATGTGTATAAGAGACAGGGTCNCACGAAGGAACTGGTTCACATTCGTGCAGTTGCACGAAGGAACTGGTTCACATTCGTGCAGTTGCACGAAGGAACTGGTTCACATTCGTGCAGTTGCACGAAGGAACTGGTTCACATTCGTGCAGTTGCACGAAGGAACTGGTTCACATTCGTGCAGTTGCACGAAGGAACTGGTTCACATTCGTGCAGGAACATTGCACTGGTTCGACCGGAGCGGCATGATGTCGCCCGCTCAGTCTGATCGCGGGCCGCTTGCTTGACTGGATATTTTTATTACTGCTAGACTTCAGCTAGGAACTTAGCGATAATATTGACCTAAATAATAGAACAATCTTAAATGTTTATCATCTTATTCAAAAGCATGCACTTCTCATCAGAATTTCCTGACTAAACAAAGTATATGCTGTCTCTTATACACATCTAGATGTGTATAAGAGACCTGCGTCCAGTCGCCTGCACCGTTGTGGGCCTGCGTCCAGTCGCCTGCACTGCACTGGGTCTGCGTCCAGTCGCCTGCACCGTTGTGGGCCTGCGTCCAGTCGCCTGCACAGCACTGGGTCGCCTGCACCGCTCTATAAGTCGCCTTTCGCCCGCATGTCGCTCTGGGTTAGTGGGTCGCACGTCATCTGGCGGCGGCCGGGCCGGAGATTCTTCTTAAACGTGACGTCATCGGCCCGAATAATGGCGGCATTATTTTATCGTCTATATTATTTATAGAACAGAATTCTTCGAGTTACAGTTTTATCTCATTTATGTGGTGTCATTTATCAATATTTCCGTGCAGTCCATCGTTTGTTTAGGGCTCCTGCTTGATTATGTCATCGGTGATTGATAGTTTCAACCACATAATATTCTGAATGTTGGCTGTTTGCACAGCATCTTATGGGACACCTTATAGATCATATACAGACACGTTATAGATCATATACAGACACGTTATAGATCATATACAGACACGTTATAGATCATATACAGACACGTTATAGATTATATACAGACACGTTATAGATTATATACAGACACGTTATAGATTATATACAGACACGTTATAGATTATATACAGACACGTTATAGATTATATACAGACACGTTATAGATTATATACAGACACGTGTAGATTATATACAGACACGTTATAGATTATATACAGACACGTTATATATTAGATACAGACACGTTATAGATTAGATACAGACACCTTATAGATTATATAGTACAGACACCTTATAGATTATATAGTACAGACACGTTATAGATTAGATACAGATACGTTATAGTTTATACAGCGCGTTTTGTTCAGAGACAACGTCCCGCAGCAGCAGCGACCACGTCGCGTGGCGATTGACCGTTATTTTTTTATTTATGTACGTTATTTTATTTATTTATTCGTCCCCCTCTACAGGGGGGAAGGCCAAGATAATATAAGTTTCATGTCCGCTGTAGTCATTATCTGTCGCGTTGTGATGAAGTCATTGTGTAAAAAGAGCGTCGTGTGCCAAACGGGGTCCAAAAAGAGCGTCGTGTGCCAAACGGGGTCCAAAAAGAGAGTCGTGGACCAAATGAGGTCCAAAAAGAGCGTCGTGTGCCAAACGGGGTCCAAAAAGAGAGTCGTGGACCAAATGAGGTCCAAAAAGAGAGTCGTGGACCAAATGAGGTCCAAAAAGAGAGTCTCGTACGTGGACCAAATGGAGTCCAAAAAGAGAGTCGTGGACCAAACGGGGTCCAAAAAGAGCGTCGTTGACCAAATGGGGTCCAAAAAGAGAGTCTCGTGGACCAAATGGAGTCCAAAAAGAGCGTCGTAGACAAAGAAAAACTTTAAATGAGTACCGTATCGTGGACTAAATTAGTCTGAAGGCTTCAAGTCCTTCAAATCCTTCACTAGATTAGTTCTTTGTTAGTGCCATTGAGACAAAGCCTCTCTTAATTGTGGGCGTCATCCTGCAGATAAGAAACACAAAACAAGGACGCCGCGTTTACGTGGAGCCTTCAAGGCTCAATCCGCAGTGCAGATCCTTTGAAGGATCTGCACTGCGCGTTACGTAGAGCGCAGAGCCTTCCAGTCCACACTCCTGACCACACGCGACGTGTGGCACGACCTACACGCTTGATTGACCATTCGAACCTCACGTGAATGAAACGTAATCGCATTTTCTATGGAGGAATCTTCGAACCTGTTCCTGTCGCGTGCATATTTAGTTTTGTTAGGAAAGATGAAGGTTATTATCGATATTATAAATTTTGGTATTTAATACTTTCATGTGGCATTAGTTGTGTTGCATTCACTGCCTCCTCCTGGCGAGAATTCGCATGCTATTCTGCAACGAACTGATGCAGAATTAGTGCGGGCCTTGTTAATTGCTTACCGCAGATTTTCACGTTGGAGGAAATAATGTTATAACAATAACTTTGAACTGCACGCTACAGTGTGCACTAAACACTGTACACTACACTGCCCTATATACAGTGCACCGCACATGTCCTAGTAACTCGTGTCGGTTAACTGCACGAAGGAACTTGTTTACATTCGTGCAGTTGCACGAAGGAACTGGTTCACATTCGTGCAGTTGCACGAAAGAACTGGTTCACATTCGTGCAGTTGCACGAAGGAACTGGTTCACATTCGTGCAGTTGCACGAAGGAACTGGTTCACATTCGTGCAGGAACATTGCACTGGTTCGACCGGAGCGGCATGATGTCGCCCGCTCAGTCTGATCGCGGGCCGCTTGCTTGACTGGATATTTTTATTACTGCTAGACTTCAGCTAGGAACTTAGCGATAATATTGACCTAAATAATAGAACAATCTTAAATGTTTATCATCTTATTCAAAAGCATGCACTTCTCATCAGAATTTCCTGACTAAACAAAGTATATGTGTAGGCTGCCGTGTGCGGCTAGCAAGACCTACTCCCATTATCGAGCATCCAGCGCGTAACTTGCCGCATTGCAAGGCTATTGCCATTTAACTATATTGCTATATTGCTTTTAATGCATTGCTATGTGTATAAAAATGCACTCAGCGGGTTTCAATGAAGTCGGCATTTGTATAGTAGAGATGCCGAGGCTGGACCAGAACACACGCGCTGTGTTTTCGCTCTGTATATAGTTGGTTGTGATCACGTATTACTCGTATGTGTGCTCGTAGTTGATGGTGATCACGTATTACTCGTATGTCTGTACTCGTAGTTGATGGTGATCACGTATTACTCGTATGTGTGTACTCGTAGTTGATGGTGATCACGTGTTACTCGTATGTGTACTCGTAGTTGATGGTGATCACGTATTACTCGTATCTGTACTCGTAGTTGATGGTGATCACGTGTTACTCGTATGTAACTCCCGCTAAAAAAATTTAAATTTTTAGTTCATTATTTTGAGTTATTCTCTAGATAGACGATATAAGGTTAATTATGATATCATGATAACTATGATATAATTTTCATGCAAGACAGACGTTACTTTCGAGATCAGCTACTCATTTGTTGCATATTTGGATTTTGTTCGATTTGATTTTGTCAGCCATGAGACAAATAAGGACCCATAACTTACCTAATATTTTTATTGCAGGCCTTCCTTCTAGCCTCCTGCCGCTGCCAGGCTCAGGCTTCACATCCTGCGCGTCTGGATGGCTCGGCCTGCGTCGCTGCTGGGGCGTGAAGCTCGCTTCAAAAGGTGGGCTTAATTCTGTGAAGCTCTTCTCACTGAAGCTCTCCTCAGTAACGCTCTCCTCAGTAACGCTCTCCTCAGTAACGCTCTCCTCAGTAACGCTCTCCTCAGTAACGCTCTCCTCAGTTTTAAGCAATCTCTGCTTCTTATGCATTATTATCTTTAGATTTTATTCAAGGAGTAGAAGTTTTGTTAACAAATATTAAACTATTTGCCTAAACCTTGTTGACAATATCAAATGGAATGCATATTTCCATACGTACATGTCACTTATCCTTTATATATAGAAATACCGTATGGAAGCATATTATTATGGAGAATAGGCTTTTCTCAAAGTCAGCCATCGGATCAAACCTTGTTTCTGGAACAGATGTCTTTACAAGCTCTGTAGGTAGGAATGACTGAATAAGTTGCTGGAATATTCTAATTAAAAATTACACTCATGAGGTTCTAATACAACAGACTCGGAGTTCCTGATAATCACTCAGGATTATCATTTAAGGATTTAATGCCCACTTAAATAAGTTGGCATTAAAAATTTCATCGCCTTCTGTGCGCAATTGTCTGAAAGCTTGTTCGTTTCCCTTCTATCGTCAGCCATCTTGAATAGTTTACTATATGTAAATGTTCTAAAGAAATATCAATTTCAGGATCAAATCATGACGACGGCGTCTCCGAAGGCGGGCTGGACCAGCGTCCACTCCATGAAAAGCAGGTTTGAGCCGCTAGCCGCCGTCAGATCTCCGTCACGAGGCGATGCGGTTGAGCGCTTGCGAGGCGCGGCCGCCCCCAGCGAGCGGCTCAAGGGGCGGTCGCCCCCCCGGCACGCGGTGACACAAACGCCCCCCACATACGATTCCCTGCCTGCTGAAGAGGCGCTTGTCACACCCCGTGATGCTCAAGTTTGTGATGATGATCGTTTTCGTCATAAAAAGCTTTCTGATGAATTTATTTACAATGGATACAAGACGACACCTCGGAGGCTGCGATCAAACGACGGTCCAGTTAGAAAAACTGATGTGGGTGCATGCTTGGATCTGCAGCACCGGAAGACTTCTTCAGATTTTAATTCTTCTAAGATTTTTCCCTCAGGGCATCCCGAATTACTTAGCTGGAAGTCTTTGCAGAACGTTACACTTCAACCCGGCAGACATTCAGAGTCCCCTCAAAACGTAGACGGAAAACCCTCGCACTTCCCAGGGATTAATAAAATACGGGAAGTAAATACCAAAGTTAATTTTACTTCAAGAATCAGAAATTCGCTTTCATCTCCTGGCCTTCATTCTCGGAAGCATAAGTTTGAAATTCCTCCCCAGTCTCCAAAACCTGACTCAAAGCCGGGATCTCCAAATGATTCGCCTGTGATGAACTTCCGTGAGAGGAAGCTTGCTTTCGAAAAAGCCGTCGGTGCTCTTGACGAAACTTTCAAATCTTTGTCGAGAAATACCTTGGGGAATAAACCCAACATCCGGAGACTGCGCTCGAATGACTCTTCGTACGACGTTTATACGGACTCCTTCAACGACGCCCTCGAGAGTGCGAGTCCCGGAGCGGCGTGGGACAATTCCAGCTTCGAAACTGACGACTCCACGCAGGAAACGCCGCCCGCTACTAGATGCAGTCAGAGAAATTCAGTCGCTCCTCTCGCGACTAATGTGTCATCGGCCGTTTATTCTTCGAATTCTTTTGGATTTTCCCCAGCTGAAAAATTGGCTGGAAAGACGGAAGCTCGTGACGAAGTGCAAAACTATGACTGCAACGAAAAGAAGAGAGACGTTCCATCAGCTCGATCAAACCGCTGTAGTTCTGCACGTCATTGTAGTAATGAATCTCATTTTGAGTTATGGGACAAAAAACAGCGTGACACACGAAATGAAGCAGATGAAGATGAAGTGCCTGTGTTTTGCGTTCAAGACTTCAATCGAGGCAAGGAGAAAATTGTACGAGTCACGCCTTGCCGGTCTCGATCTGAAGGAGCCGAACTAAAGCCTGAGACGTGCAGCGGCTTAAAATTGGGAACTGACAGTAAATCTGTGAGGAAATTGGCTAGATCTTCCTGCGATGTTAATGGAGGACGGTGCAATTCACATTTGTCGGATGGGTTCAGAGAAAAGCAACGTATGTTGGAAGAAGTGATGAACGCAGAAAATAAATTGAATGAATTGAGGTATCAGCGAGAAAGATCTTCTTCTCCTACGAAACGTTCGAAGGTTTTCAGAAAAATTAGCTTCACCTACAAACCAGACAAAGACAAACTTCAAAACAGAACTCCATATGCCATTGCTGTGTACCCGAACCTATCCAACAAGGAGATTCTTCCAAAGGATAACTCTAAAGAGACGTCGGTTAATAGAATTTCTCTTTCTAAGTTAATTTCAAAACGCAACGCCTTAGTTCCCACTTTACGATTTCCTTTATCTTCTCCCGAGAAAACTAGACGGAAAAACAGCATTAATTCTGACAAGAAAGCAAATTCTGTTCAATCTCTTCTGACTAGAAGCTCGAGGGAAAACCACCATGCCCAGATAACCCAGAGCAAAACGACGAGTAAGTCAACCGATCATATCGAAGAAATCCCAGAAGTTAATTGTACCGACGGCAACCAGTTTTTAGGACAAGATATAGCTAATAGTTTACCAGATGTAAACCAGAAAACAAAGCGTGACTTTGTTGGCCGACAAGTGGACGATGAAATCAATCCTGCTATCTACTATTCATCGTTGCCGCTGCTTGAACAGCAACACAATTCAATGGTCGAGCCTGTTGACCCTATAGCCCCGCCAGTCAACTCTATAGCATCGCCTGTCAAGCCATCAGAACTTTATGTTTTCAAAAATCTGCGGACAAGCGCTGATTTCTCTCGAGATAATTCTGACGACACTGCAGTTCTTGTGAAACGTCCTCCTTCGGCGGTCGGTGCTCCCATCAGACCCCCTAGGCGTAGAAACCCAGGAGCACCTCGCAAGAAAAGCCAAGCACCTCAGCCTCCTACGCTGGCATCATTAGACAATAACGCGGCAAAGAGCAGTCAAGATTCCTCTCACAGTGCAAAAGCATCTGACGCACCTAAATATACCTCAACATCGCCTCCTGAAGGCGAAGGACCAACGCTTGATGTTCTACCCGATGCTTACCAAATTGTTGCTCCGACGAAACCTGATTTGAATGGTGATGCTGATGAGCCACCTCAGCACTCAGACGTTGCTTGTGTTCCTCTGATAGAATCAAATATTCGTAATGGCGAGGTGATCAAAGGGGCTGATATCTCCTCTGACGTGCCCTCGGTTGATCAGGCTACCTCGAATAAGATGCTTCTTCAGGATCATGCAGCCATGCCCAGCAAGACGAACGGCGCGTGCCACCAATCTGTTCGTCTAGCTGAGCACACCGACCAGGAGCCGAAGGGCGTTCAGGGAACGTGTCAGTTACAAAACGTTAAACTTCTTCATTTGCTTACCTGTGACAATCTAACAAATTCTGAGACGAAAGACTCTATTTCAGCTGAACCTTTTTTGACCACTTCCGTTGATAATAACGATGGCGAGGAATTTTCTCTAAATGAGACTTCAAGTTACTCACAAACTGTTGCTGAAAGTAATGCTAATTCAAAAGATAGGAAAGCAGCCTCATATTTACCCCCTGGTCCTCCTCCTCAAAAGCCTCCTAGAACATTCGCCTACGAGGAGGAGAGAATGCGCAGTTCGCGGCCCGTCCTCCCCCACGGGTCGCCTCCACCAGGACCAGAAGCTTTCAAGGAGCACTTCATCGAGGTGGCAAGTAGCGCCGTCCCAGCAGCACCCATTTACTCGGTGGTCAAGAAGAGAAGTCCTCCACTTCTCACCCCGAACACTTCAGACTTAAACGTTAAGCCAGAAATCGCTCCTAAGCCAGCGCATATCTCGGCTCTCGTTCGAAAGAAGCGGTTCTCTTTGGCTGAGTCCACTCCGTGTGAGGTCGGCCAAGCGCCGCACCCGCACGCTGGCTTCAGTTCTTTCTCTCAGCTGCGGTACAGCTTACGCAAACACCCCCCTCACCTCCCTCCCCCGTCCCCGCCCTGTGGACCGCCTCCCTCCACCCCCACAACTGCGTCAGCTCTGAGGCTGGAACAAGAGGCGTGCGTGAGGCCGGGCGCCTTCGACAGACAGAAGAGTTTGAGTGATGAGACTCTCTGCTCATCTTCGGTGAGTACAATTGTGCACTCTGATCCTCATCGGTGAGTACAATTGTGCACTCTGATCCTCATCGGTGAGTACAATTGTGCACTCTGATCCTCATCGGTGAGTACATTTGTGCACTCTGATCCTCATAGGTGAGTACAANCCTCATCGGTGAGTACAATTGTGGAGAATTGTGCACTCTGAGTCTCTGACCATCATCGGTGAGGATGCCCCTGAGGACGCCTTGTAGCTGGTTTGCGTCAGCCGCCAGATGCTGACTGTCAATGACGCAAAAATCGCAACTCTTCCCAAACTGCCGATCTCTAATTGAAATCGTATTCCTGACAAGTAATTTTTTTCCTAATAAAATTTTAACAGTTTTTCTTGTGTAAAAAATAATATAAATGGCATTTTTGACCAATTTCGCATCGGTTAATTGCGCGTTAGCGAGTCAAGTGACGTCACGAACGACTGGTGATTCTTGTATTATCGACGAAAGCGTTATTGCTGTTCTGTTCTGTGCCGTTATTCATACATTCCCCGGAAATCTGTTTATTCTTTATTGGTCATCTGATTGTTCACGTTCTAGAACTTCTAGGACCTAGGTAGATGGTTTTGCATTTTGCAATAAAAGTCATATTATTGAGCGTTTTTATTCACAGCGGAATGAAAACTAAATAGGAAATCATTAATGTTAGCTTTAAAATTTGGGAAAATACTATGTATTTAGTGTCACCATCAGGCAAGAACATTTTTTTCGTACTTTTGAGTAGATATTTACAAGAACTAATCTTGAGATTCAGAATAAAGAAATTAAATCTTGTAGAAGTTTGAGCTAAAAAAAGACGTTTTCTATCACCTCCTCTTAGAAAACTATTGTTACTTGCGATTCTACGTAAGACTATCTTATTTCGAGACAAAAATTTGATTAGGTATTGCGAGGTAATGAACAAACTGCTAACAAAGGATGATAACCAAAACAAGTGTATAAAATAATGGTTTGCTTTCTATCATTCTTTTGTTGTTTGGTATTTGTGTTTTATAGGCCTTCTGTTTTTTATGGGTGCAGTTGATTACTGAGCAGTAGTCAGAGGCGCGCTAATCTGTTGGGATGTCGAACGAAATAATTGGCGTTTCTTGACAGTAGCTACAAAGTGCTTTGGCTAGAAGTCACACCAACTTTCTTTACATTATATTAAAAAAAAACGATGTATCAATCTAGCTTCCATCTGGCGTTCATCTAGATAAATTTGGACAAAAATTAGCGAAGACTCAGCTCTGAGTTTCTTATTTGCAGGATGATCCTGTAACTTTGAATTAAGTTTATCCTCCGGTTAGACGAACGAAAACTTTACCGCCTATCATGCTCTTTTATTTTCTTGCACTGAACCTGTCGCGTCGAGTTGTTCGTGTGATGAAAGACGGCGCGGTATTGACTATTGAAGATAGTTGGGCTGTGATGAGCGTTAAGCCCCGTCCACACGTTCAAACTTATCGTCAGTCTTGCATGTCATGCCAGGTTTGAGCGATTTTGACGGAAGACTGAAGAGCGTCCACACGCTCAAACTTTCCTTCAGTTTTTAGTGCGTTCGCGGCAATGTAGGAGCTAGTGCTGCTCGCTGCAGTGAGCGCAGTTTGTGCCACCATAATTAGGTTAAAGCGATGCAAACGTACGCGGTGGTCCCGAAAATGGTTTAAAAAATACCACAATGAGGGTTGATAGACAGTATCCCTACCAGCACCAGACAGCATTGACGACTTCATTTTGGCACATTCTTTTCGATAAAGAGTTTATTTTCTTCGTTACAAAGTCTTTGTTTGCTGTATGATCAACTTCTTTGCACTTAGCGATCAATGCCGCATAGGCCAGTGCTCTCTTGTTCTTGTCAATGTAGCTTTTTGATCGAATTTACCATAAATATGGGAAACTACGATATAACTCCATAAAATCACCAAAATAAATCGTGAAACCAGTGTCGGATATTCTGGGATATGAAAAACTAGAGCTAGCGAGGAACAATGTCGCAGCTCGCATCATCAATATAGACTGAGATAGTGTAAAAGTTTGACCAATTAGTCGGTTGCTCGTCCACACGCTCAAACTTATCGTTAGTCTTGCTTGAACCCAAAAGTCTCGCCCGTCCGTCTTTTCCAGGTTTGTCAACCTCAAACTCCGCCCACCCGTCATGCGAGACGTCAAACTTTGAGCGTCCACACGCTCCGTCTTGTCAAACCTGGCATGACATGCAAGACTGACGATAAGTTTGAGCGTGTGGCGGTGGGCTTTAGTGGTAGCTGATGCTTTGAGGTCCATGTTTGTGGTACTGGTATCTGATGCTGTGATGGCCCGTGTTTGTGGTAGCTGATGCTGTGATGGCCCGTGTTTGTGGTAGCTATGATGGTCCGTGTTTGTGGTAGCTGATGCTGTGATGGCCCGTGTTTGTGGTAGCTATGATGGTCCGTGTTTGTGGTAGCTGAAGCTATAACGGCCCGTGTTGCTCACAGGGCTACCATCGCACGGCTGAGCATGTCTACGCGACGCCTAACTTGCGTCCACGCGACCTGCAGCGCAGCGATGGCGAGGGCCTGCACTACATGGTAGGTGTCGCGTCAGTGTACAGAACATGCCAGAATATTTGGCAGCATGTAATGTGCCGCGACGTGGTGTAGTAGGAGAAACAAATAGTTTTGTCATAAATTGTCTTGATTTTTACTTAATCTGACTAATAACGCTCAAAATCACAATTTTTTTGCTCACTATGATGAAACAAATTAAGTGAATCTGCGGACTCGCTTACTCTTATCCATGCAGTTTTATCAACACGAAACCTTAAACGACTAAGTAGGCTTAAATCGTTTTTAATTTGAATGAATTTTTCAGTGCAGCGACTTGATGCTTGATGCAAAAGACGTCGGCGACAGAAGAGCGTCTGTGTCGCCGGCGCGTCTCATCTCGGCCTGGAAGCTGGAGTTCCGGCAAAGTTGTCGACTCGTGCACAACAAACTCAAGAAGACCGTCCAGAGATAGAAACTCGGGCCGATCTGATCAACGCTAGGGACTTCACACATTTCTATTGTGTTGTTCGTGTTAGTGGTCTCATTTAGAACTGCGGACATGGTACACCAATGGTCTATATAAGGTTGACTCACGAGGATTTTCGTCTTTCAGTTCAGCTTACTTGTTACGTCACGTAGAACAGGAAACGTGAACAAATCGTCATTCCCATGACGGATTGGTTGACTGACTTGATCGCATTACGGTGATTGGTTAATGCCGGTGACGTCACTGAAATCAGTGACGTCACAGGCGAACAACGAACTACATCCGCAAAAATGAGCTTCTCATGGGTCAACCTTATACTAGTTCAACCATGCACCTGCCTACCTATACTGTCTATGTCAAACCAATCGCCAAACTAAAATAAAAACGATTGAGCGAATGAAAAGATTTTATAAATTTTGTAATCAATTTTAGAATGATTTGTCATTTTTAGCGCTCAAACACAACAAAAAACATTTCCGATCAATGGAACATAGTTTTTTTTTATTGGCCCAGTGGTTACAGTTCAGAGTACCAGGATTGACGCAGAGAGGCGCGGGTTCGATCCCAGCTCTGTGCGCCAGTTTCTGGTCAGAATCGGCGAGGAGGCCGGGCGGTTAAGCACAGCAGAATTGTAGCAGTGAGTTGCGAGTTCGAGACCGCAACAAGCTGTGAATGTTCTGCGATGTTGAGAATCGGCGACAGGCCTAAGGAAAAAACGCTGAAACCGCTATATACTAATTGAATGCATTAGAAAGACATCGCTGCTTCTGGTGCCATTGACGTTTATCATTTGTACCGTGAGACAAGATCGGCTATTTATGTATCACGTGGCGATATCGGTGATTTCTTGAGTCCTACACGAATACGATACTTTAACTATGTGATATCATAAAAGCTTTTAAACGTTAAAAAGTTTTTAGACATTTTGAAACTTCGGTCATCTTCTATACGCCATTTATGATGTGTATATATCTATATTCTTTAGATTCTATAGAATAGATTCAATCGAATATACGATGTCTGTTTCATGATAAGGTTCGCTCAACAAGGCAAAGTTAGTTGCTATGTAAATATTCGTGATACCTCAGTATGCATTGAAACAATGATCAGATATCTTAACATCTCTGAGTATTAGGCGCTCGTAATGTGGTTATCAGCCTGACAACTCAGTGCTCTGCCCAGCAGCCTCTCACCACTCTTGCACACAATTATTTGCGCCGACCCCACACACAAAGTTGTTACTAATAAATGTCAAGTTGACGCAGTATTAACTCTGGAACCCATCTTTAAAAATATCTCGACTGCCTACTAATGCTAATGTTATGCGCTTACCGGGTTTTGTCACGCGCCACAGATGAAACTTCGCGCTGTCGCAATATGTGTGGTGTTCTTTTTTTCTTTGAAGAAGGAGGTGGTATCATATCACAGGCGCTGTGTGAAATTAAATGCGGGAGATCATTTCGCGACATTCGTCTCGGGAAATTGGATACATGAAATATCAGTTCGATTTTAATGTTCGATTTGTTATCGCGCTATTTCTTTAAATCTCTTCACATCAGCGCTCAACTTCGGTCCGATGAACATCATTGCTTTATTTAACCCTTTACCGCCTGACTTGAGTAACCTGAGTAATATTGTCACAAGCCTATTACCCAAAAAGGATAGGTTCTAGTGAGCGCAAAATGACTTGCACTGATGGTTGCCGCCACGTACAACTTTAAAATGTTCTCTGTTGAGTACAAACGTCCTCAGGTTGCTACACACAATAGTTTGCGCATAATTATATTATACGTAAACTATTAATACGTATAAAGTATTAATAGTTTACGTATAATTGAAGTTGAAAGTCATGTTCCCGGATTGTGACATACGGCGGCAGAGGGATAAATCCTATAATTGTTGACAGGTAAAAAAGAACATGCACAAGGACTAAATGACAATAAACGGGCGGTCATTATAAAGGCATGAGCGAAACCATGAACTTTTTCCGCGCAACATTCCTCGTTATCTTCTGTAGCGCTTCGATGCAAGTATAAATACGCTTTCCTTAGCATAATAACTACATACACGTGTCAATTATATAATATCCACATGCATATAACGTTTTAGTCTTGCAGAGCAATGCGCTGCAAGACTAACTAGTCGTCACTGCGATGTAACCCACTTACTGAAGGACTTAAGCGCTGCTAGGGGATGCTAAGTACTGGACGCTTTACAAATAATAAATCTTGGTTAACATGAACTGAGTTATTCCTGATCCCAACTTATGTTGTACTAATACTGGACTAGCGAAGTTTTGGCGTCGGTGACTCGGGAATTCTGAATTATTTCTCATTTGCTGAGTCGCGGAGGTTAGTTATGGTTCAACTTCTAATATCATAATTCACAATATAACAACTTTCATCTTGATGTGTCTGCATAGAAATCTTGTAACCTTATGATGAGTTCGGGACTTCCTAGTCCCCGGTCACGCTGACGTCACGTCGTCCTCCGTCTCCGAGTCGTCGCTAGACAGGTCACCCCGCCCTGGGGTCCCGGATGTAACGTTGGACGTGTTCAGTCTATTTGCCCTCCTTTGGGCACGCTGATGCAAGATGCTGTTGATTGTCACTTGCTGAGGGTGGTTTCCCATTACTGGACAGTCCGTTAACTTTCTCAGCCACTTGTCCAGTCGTCTCTTGAATGCTGCAAGGGTGAACTCCCCTCCTCTCAGCGCTTTCGGCATGGGAAAAATACTATGCGAGCATAGTATTTTTAAAGCTAGACATTGAATTATGTTGTTGGTTCAAGTTTAAATTGGTTTAAATCAGTGGTTCCCAAAGTGGGCGATATCGCCCCCCTAGGGGCGGTGGAAAAATTTTGGGGGGCGGTAAAGAAGAAAAGGGCGATAGGGGGGCGATAAGGGGGCAGCAGTCCGAAGTCGAAGTTCAAACGTTTGTTTGACGATTTGTTCACTACACGTGCAGCTCATGACTCCCAACGATGGTTTATTTTACCCAGATCTGTTTTAAGCGCATTTTCTCATTTATGGAAAAAATGCACTATTGTGCTCGCCATGTCCGTCTGTCTGTCTGTCCGTCCGTGACTGCACGTTTTCGTCAACGAGAAAATGCGCGCTCTGGCACCCACTGCAGTGAGTACTGAGTTATATTTTTTAAGCCTCTCCTGGGTTTATGTCTCCGACAAATTAACGACCGCACTCCCGGCCGGTCTCACGGCCAATTTCCAAATTCAATGATCAAGGAATATCTCTCAAACTAATGAACTTAACTTGATGAAACTTGGTATACGTATTCATTAGGACCTAACGGTAATGTAAAGCTCGTGAAATTTTTTCAAATTTTGCCTTCAATTGTTTTTGCCATAGTTATATGGAAATACGGGCCGAAATTCACAGTGATCAAGGAATTTCTTCCAAACTACTGAACAGATTCGAACGAAATTTTGAATTTACAGTCCTAACTACCGAACAGTGATGTTTAGCTCGTGAAAATCTTTTCGACTGTGCCTTCGTTCGCGAGTGTCATTCGTGATTTAAGCAGCAAATACGTGCTTAAATTCGCGTAATCAATAAATTTCTTCCAAACTACTGAACAGATTTGAACGAAATTTAGTATTTTAATACCTAACCTCAGCAACGGTGATGTTTAGCTCGTTGCAATTTTTAGCGCATTTTCTCATTTATGGAAAAAATGCACTATTGTGCTCGCCATGTCTGTCTGTCTGTCTGCCTGTCTGTCCGTCCGTGACCTCAAGTTTTCGTCGACGAGAAAATGCGCTCTCTGTCACTCACTGCAGTGAGTACTGAGTTACATTTTTTCGCTTTGCCTTCATTTGCGAGTTATACGGCTATACGTAAACGGCTCTTGGTTAAACCAGCCGGGAGAAAAGCCGATCGTTCCTCGATCCTATATCTGTATAACGAAAGCGAATAAGGAAGTGTGAAATCAAGAATGACGGTGAAATGAAAAAAAATCTCGCAAACGAAGGTAAAACCAAAAATTTTTTTAGAATCTAAAAACACCATTAGGTAGTTAGAAATGTTTATTCAAAATTTCGTTAAAATCTGTTCGGTAGTTTGGAAGAAATTATTTAATCACTGCGAATTTCGGCCTGTATCGCAATATAACTCACGAATGAAGGTGATATTTAAAATTTTTTCGCATGCTAAACATCACCGTTAAGTTCTGATGAATACATGTTCCAAGTTTTATTGAGCTGCGTTCATTAGTTTGGGAGATATTACTTGATAATTGAATTTGGAGATTGGTCGTGAGACCGGCCACGAGTCCGGGCCGTAAATTTGCCCGAGACGTACAAGGTTTCTAGTGCTGAAACAGTTACAACAGCTGAAAAACATATTGGTTAACTAAAAGGGGTTTTATTTGTGAAATACACATTTGCGTTTAAAATTTATCTTTTAAAATTGCAGCGTACTAAATTTTATAGAAAGAGGCGCATGATTTTATTTGTGTCTGTGGGGGGCGCTAGAAATTTACTAGGGAGCCAAAGGGGGCGCCAGCCTGAAAAAGTTTGGGAACCACTGGTTTAAATTTACCTGGTAGTTCGATTAAATCACGTAGAGCAGAAGGTACCAAAATGCGAACAGTGATCCTGTCTTTAGATGTTTCATAATCACGCAAAAAATTAAGTTACACAATAAATAGCGTACTTGGGTCAAATTCAATAATGAAACTTTTAGTTACAATTGCCAGACCACCACCGAACATTTAGGGTTCATACTAAAGCTGTGTGCACAACACAAGCACTGACGGCTTTATCACTCAAGTAGGTAGGGGGCGCGTGAAACGTTTACATTTAATTTGTAGTTTTGTACCAACGAAACAACGAAATATTGCACCGGAAGAAAAACTGCTATTGGGAATTATTTAATAATGTGGGTGGCCCAGTGGTTACAGTTCAGAGTACCAAGATTGTAGCAGTGAGTTGCGAGTTCGATCCCAGCTCTGTGCGCCAGTTTCTGGTCAGAATCGGCGAGGAGGCCGGGCGGTTAAGCACAGTAGAATTTGAATCAGTGAGTTATTAGTTCGAGATCTCAACAAACTGTGAATGTTCTGCAATGTTAAAAATCGGCGATAGGCCTATGGCCTAATAAACGCTGAAACCGCTATTATTATTATTATGTACTAAGGAATAATACGAGTTAATGAAGAGAACATCAACGTTCACAAGTTTGATATGTAGGTATTCTATAAAACTAGATAATGTCGATGCCACATAAATAAGAGTAGAGATTTAGGCATTAATTGCACCACTACGAGGTGAAACGTGTAGGTTATCAAGGTCATACTCTTCTCGCCCGCCCTGGTCACAATGCTGGTCATAAATAATAAAACATCAAGGCATTTTGTGTCGCGAGAAAATCATAAATTTCACTTCAGAAAAAAAAACAAAGGTCAAACATAGTCAGCTGCGTCATTCAGCAGAACATTGTGACGACATGCACTTATTTCTACCCTGACTTGGATAAAATATGATGACGTTTATCAAAGTAACTCTAGTGATTGCCTCTTATCTCTAATCACAACCGAGACTCGTGTTAATGCAGATGATCTGATACAAGATCCTCTTAGCTCGGACGTTCCAATGGGAAATGATAAAGCCGATACCACGTGTCTGATGGTAAGTTCTCTCGCGTAATCAACAATAAATTTCAGAAATTAATTAAAAAAATGAAGAATAAGACTAGGATATTTGATACTAGTCAGGCGATCGGCGTGGAGACAGACGATCAGGCGCGAGACGGTGGTCTGTGGTGAAGGAAAGCTGTCTCTTGAAGCTGCCCCCCTACATGATAACTGCAAAATTCTCAAAGAAAATTAGAGGGAATCCAGGCTCTTGAATCCGTTATTTGATGCGAGGGTTGGCGGTGCCGGCTGATTTTCTAGGCCAGCACAGCACAGGTTTGTAACGCCAATAAGCCTGAGCTAGGCCCATTCCATCCTGTAGATGCAAGCACAAGGAATGCTTCAGAAGTCATTTCACTCACGAGTGACAGTGAAATACAAAGGCGGCTGGATGGCGCGAGAATTTTAGCGGCTTAAATTAAAAAAAATCCGCAATTGAATAGGTTAAAAAAATTTGAATGTTTTTCTTTCCATTGGTGTATAAATTATTTATTTTGAGTTTACACTTAACTAAATACGAATTTCTTAAATAGGGTCCATAATTTAGAATGACGATACGTATTTATAGACATTCCTACATTCTGTCAACGGCGGACCTTCCGAACACATTTACTTTGCTCCCATTCAGTTGTTCGGTGCAGACAACGCCAAGCTGTACCTACACTTCCTTATGTCGTATTCTGCCCCTAAGATAGCAGATAGAAACTGAAACCGCAGTCAATAAAAGTTGCTTCAAAGTCAAATAAATTACCTTTAAATAAGGTCACAAGAGCCATCCTTGGGCTGCGAAAGTTAGAAGTCCGATTTTATACAAATGAAATTTATTATTGCTAAAGAATAAGAAATACATACGTAGCCGGGGCCAAATAAGTGTAATAGGTGAAATGAATATCGTCTGGCGGCTTATAGAAGTGGCGACAAAGTAAAAATTTCGCCTGCCATTAGGTTGAAAATGAGAAGTTATTTTACAGGAATGGAGACAGCAGTCGATGAGAGGAATGAAGACAGCAGTTGATGAGAGGAATGAAGACAGCAGTCGATGAGAGGAATGAAGACAGCAGGCGATGAGAGGAATGAAGACAGCAGGCGATGAGAGGAATGAAGACAGCAGGCGATGAGAGGAATGAAGACAGCAGGCGATGAGAGGAATGAAACAGCAAGCAGAGACTTGTTATCTCGTATCTTAGGGCAAACGTCGTGCGTAGCGACAGGAACTTCGTTGAAACATGAACTTCATAAAGAAGAGTTGACTGTGCTGATGAGGGCTACACACTCATAAACCATAATACTTCCATCATAGTCTTATCGCACTGCTAGCTTTCCTTAGCATAGAGATGCAACTCAAATCGAATAAAATTATTTTGGGCATACAGATGTTGGAACACGAGTTTAGCACCAACTTTCCCTGTCTCACTATTATACATTTTCTCTTTATTATCTATTGTTTCGAGGAGCACCGATCCTTCAGGACCAAAAGGCTCGTACGAAGACAGGCAGAGGCAGCGCAGCAGATCTACTCAGCAGAGCAGATCGTCCCTTAGCTCTTCTTCCACGAGTAGAACATCTCCATGGGCTTGTTGACGCGCCAGAACTTCTCATTGACTTGCTCGAGCGTGTAGCTCCCTGACAGCGCCACGTAAGTGTCGGGGGTCGGCGCCACGTAGATGGTGAAGTTGTGCAGGGAAGACGGCAGCTCGGCCTCCAGCTCCCCGTTGCGGTTGGCGAGAGTCAAGCGCATGGCCAGATATTTAGAGAGATGGTCCACTGCAACACAAGACACGTTAGGGACACGGAGGAACGGTTTACTGCAACACATGACACGTTAGGGACACGGAGGAACGGTCCACTGCAACACAAGACACGTTAGGGACATGGAGGAACGGTCCACTGCAACACAAGGCACGTTTGGGACACGGAGGAACGGTCCACTGCAACACAAGACACGCTAGGGACATGGAGGAACGGTCCACTGCAACACAAGGCACGTTTGGGACACGGAGGAACGGTCCACTGCAACACATGACACGTTAGGGACACGGAGGAACGGTCCACTGCAACACAAGGCACGTTTGGGACACGGAGGAACGGTCCACTGCAACACATGACACGTTAGGGACATGGAGGAACGGTCCACTGCAACACAAGGCACGTTTGGGACACGGAGGAACGGTCCACTGCAACACAAGACACGTTAGGGACACGGAGGAAC